CTGGGAGACAAGTGGGAGACAAGTGTGAAATCATGCGGCCAGAGCACGTGGGAGACAAATGGGAGACAAGCCTGAAATCATGCGGCCAGAGCAGACAAGTGGGAGACAAATGGGAGACAAGTATAAAATCATGCGGCCAGAGCACTGAGAGCATCCAGAGCTTACTAAAAAACAAGTGGGAGACAAGTGGGAGACAAGTGGGAGACAAGGGTGAAATCATGCGGCCAGGAACACAAGCCCGGAGACAAACTCAAAATCATCCGGCCCGAGCATGCACCCCATTAAAAGGAGTAAGAACCCCTCACAGGTAAACCTGTTTGGGGAATAATTCAAACAAAAACTGCCACAAAAATGCGTCTAAAAGTCTAACTCGACTTGTGAACCTTTTGCCTATGGAACGTCCTGACTGTTTGGTACGTCTGCAGTTTAGTTTTTGCACTTTGCGGCAATTAATGGCGCCTTGACAATTTGTTCAATTTTCGACGTCAGGCAGCGGTGCAAACTTATGAACAAAGTTCCACACTAAACATGCAGACCACACTTCGGATGCCATACCTGAGCACACAAGTGGCAAAGAAGTGCACTAATTTTCTGTTTAGTTAATGAGTAATGAGCATCCAAAATGAGATTAGTGGTTTCATCGGCTGTTTGGATGGATAGGTGAATAACTGTCCCGTTGCACAATGAAAATTGAATTCTTGTTCTCATCAAAACTCAAACTAGATCAAAGACTCAATCGGTTGCAAGTTAAATCAACTTTTTGTCGTTGAGAATCCGAAAGCCCGACATGTGTCCGCATGAATTTCCATGAGATAACCGTATCAACTGGCCTGCCGTTTAGCCAGACAGAAACAGGTCAAACGAGTCAAGCAGCAACCAATTGGAGTTGCAATTCAAGGTCAAAAGCTGTCAGACCAGTTCGCTGGCAACCGTCGACAAGCACTCATTAAAACAGCGACAGGCTGCGTCACATGAGATGAGAACCTGCACCAGTCCCCCCACTCCCCCCCTTCGCGATCATTGGTGGTCCGACAAGGCCTTGAAAGGCTTGTTCAGAAGGATGGAAAAACAGACAACTTTTGATGCAATGTGTGAAATAGACTTCAGACAACTCCGTTGGTTTCTGGTCTGTCGGGCATCTCAAACGGAAGGCACTGCGTCGGCAGCGGGGACGTGCGCATGCCATGGAAGCGGGCTGTGTGTCAACAACTTTCAATGTCTTGTTGTCTTGAGGTTGCTTGTGGCCGAGGGTCAGTCATTTGCAAAGCATGTCAAGAGTTTGACTTCATTAAAGAAATGAAGAGGGGGATGAAGGACCTGGTGTTTCGGACGCGCTCGTTCCGCATGGATCTGTTTTTAGTTCTGGAGGAGCTCCGTGATGCATTCGCCAGGAAGTGTGGATCTCAGATCGCATGTTGGGTTCATATTTCCCTTCCTTGGAAGGGAGGATCTTCCCGCTGCATTTCCAGGAAAGAATTCCAAGCACGCGAGATTTGAACTTGCGAAAAGTCACGAGAGTGGCCTTTTTCAAGCTAGATGTTGCTCTTGATCACGACTGCACCGAAACTCGTGGTGAGTGTGCGTCACGTCAAAATTGTTGCAATGGAATGCATGTCCATGAGACGCCGATGGACTTCGACCGATGGATTTCGATCGATGGAAGCAATAGTTTCAAGCTTAAAGCTTGTTCAACGCTCTTTTTCTTTCTCAGAAGAGCCTTTCATTTGCCGAAGACACTCCACACAAGGGAGCTCCTCCAGGAATCTCCAACTCCTCAGTTGGATTGTCCTTGACTTTCTCTTGAACATCTTTGGACTCTCGATTCGCCGGATCGCTTCCAGCGTTCACAATCGTCCCTGCCTTCGGAGCTGGACAGGCTCCACAGGCTCCAGCGCTGCCAGATACTTTTGGACCCAGCTCCATCTTCCATGGCTTCGGACAGTGGACGATCAGTGCTTCCGAGCGATTCAGTGTCGCATGGTGCCCATCAGTGCGGATGATGGAACACAGCCAACACCACAGGTGGGTGTGGAGTCGCCAAAGGCATCAACTTCATTTGTTTCATGGTTATTTTAAAGACACGAGTCTTGCGTTTTGGAACCTTGTTTCTCATCTGTTTTGGAAGGGTCGGGTTCGAACTTTCAAAAGGAGGGCTCTGTTCATCGTCCTTTCTGGTTCTGGCCAAACACATTGATTTGGTTGCAGGGAAGAGCACATTTGCCTGGTGTATGAAGGTGTTCCAAAATCCAAGAAGGAAGGGACATTTTCGATGGATAATGTTTGAAACTCGATTTTGTTTTCAATGATTTTCATTTGTTTGTGACTTGAAAGGCGCGATTTTGCATTTGCATTACCATCTAAAGACACACATGCTGTCTGTGCATCTGTGTTCCATTGCTCCAAGGCTCATGTTCCCTCCACTCCAGTGTTGGACACCCTTTCTGCTGACCGGGGACCCGAGTCCGACTGCCCAAGGGTGGGACCCTGAACGTCATTTCACCTTGCTTCGTGGCCCTACTCCTCTACAGCGCGTTGGCGCCAGCTCCGGTAGTTTTTAAAGAGGTGGCCTTGGAAGCTGAATTCCACAACACGTCCTCATAGGGTTGCCCTCAATGACATGCTGACATGTCGAAAGAAGACAATCAGCAACTCAGCATGAAATCAAAAAGGGAACAGGTTGGATGTCCACTCCGACAACGAACGAAATGCTCTCTCACTGATGCAAACTGTCATCATGTCATTTGCCCGCGGTCTCACCTCCAGCAAGCCGGAGCTGTTGGAGCACCTGTGTCTGCTTCCTGTCCAAACAGCGCAAGGCCTTGTTGAGCAATTCGAGCGACTGAATACAATCAATGCGTCCCAACGGATGGCCTGTCGCTCCAACTTGGGGTGTCGCGCCAACTTTGACATCGGGCGTGATGACAAATCATTTGCGCAGCAGAAGCGTGTGAGAAGTTGCACGAGTGTGCAGGTGCGCCGGCATTGCCACAGAAGTGCTAGAGAGGTCGACGAAAGGCAAGGAGTTTGCAACCGCAAGGCGAGGGCCCAGAAGGCTAAAATCTGGCGGAAGCGAAAGGTTGCTCAGTCCAGATGAGCGGACCCAACCTACCTTGTCCCACAAGGTCGCGGACGGTTGTTTTTAGGTATCCAACATTGATTAACGCGGCCGACAATTTTGAGAAAGGCAATGCCCAAGCAGAGAGCAAGATCAATCTCCAACTGGCTGACCACAGGATTGGCAATCGCAATGACGCGCATGGGGTGGTTCCTTCTTTCACCCAAACAGGAACTCACACTCCTGAACCGACATCAGCTGGCAGCGCTGCCACAATGGCTACCAACAAGATGATCGACCCTGCCAGCCAAGTTGCCAATTTAGCGGGGTAGCGATGCTGCCTGGGAGGTGATAGTTGGGTGGCTCACAGGTGATCCTACCTTCCTTACGGGACCCCATC